TATGAACATAACTTTCATTATAAGGTTAATTAGTTGTTTATAATACTTTTCCCTTTTTTTTTTTTTGGTGAATGGCAAGGGAATATTAATTATTAATCAATGCTAGGAAGAGCAATTACGAAGGGGAACTGTAAGACGCAGTTCTTGTAAAAAGACAAGCTTTTGGAGCAGAGCATTAAAACAAAAAAGAAACAGCCATACAAAGGACGCCATTAATTCTACCTAACAGTCGTACAAGACAGAAGATGGAAGCATAACAAACATATCCGAGGTTCCATTGTTGACAAACAGAAGTCTAAGTATGCAAAACTTTTTGTTGGATGAAGAAGAAAGAGTGACTGCCAAGCTCTTTGAAGAGAATTTCCTTTGAAATTGTTTCATTTGTTCTGCTGAAAAGTGAGACTTGCATGTATACATATAATTGGTAGCTAGCTAGCTAGCTACGTACCTCTCTCCTTGGAGCTCATTTCCAAAACGCAATTCCAGGCATAATTACTACTGGAAAAATAAATTAATTATGACGTGATGAGCTTTTAAAAAGGTTGAAAACATTTCATTTTATTAAAAAAACAAAAGAAGAGACGTCTAGTGGAGAATTTTTCTATCCTGTGGTCTCATCACCCAATATCCAATTACATCAAAATGTTCCGGAAACCCATTGCTTTGTGACAGCAAAGTTGTGCACCTTTAATTCATATATACTATTATTTTTCCTTTTTTTAAAATAAAAAAACATAAACAAAAATTATTTTGCATTTAATAATTCATTGGTTGTTTTTAAAATTGTTTTAATTTAAAAATTTGACGTGTTTAAAGAGTATACTGCAATTGCAGGATTGCACTTAAACGTTTGATTTAATGAAAAATATGCCTTGTTCATAAAAACAAATAAATTTGAATATTATTTTAAATGAATGAAAGGAATTAATAAAGTGTAATCGAAGATGAATATGAGGTGAAATAAAACAAAAAGAATAGTAATAGTTTGTGATTGTAATAATAGGTGGAAAGAAAAGGTACAACTATAAGGTGGCTTTGGAAGATGGTGACAAAGGGATTGTTGGTTGATATGTTCTTCTTTTCCATCCCTTCTTTGTTGTTAATTAGTTTTGTCATTTATTTATTATCGTTCCTCTCCCTGATAATGATTTTGTTATTGCCACTTGGGAACATAATCGATTCAAAGAATCCTCTAGCTAGCATGCCAATGGTTTGGTACAGCATGGGTGTACTTTGTGAAGATTTTTTGCCTTTAGAATATATACATATACATGTAAATGTTTATTTATTTACCTTTTTAACAAGTGATGGGGCGGAAACTTGTCCAGATTAGCCCAAAATGCCTTTATTTATCAAATTGCTCCAAAAAGGAGATTCATTTTCACCAATTTTTTTTAAAGTTATCTTATGTTTGGTAAGCAATGATATTAAAAGACCACTTAGAATATTCCATGAGTAATGGGAGGTAGCTAGGAAAGGGGTTTGCCATTGCCCATTAGCTCACAGGAAAAAGGAAAAAAGAATCCAAAAACTTCCCACCTCAAAGCATAAAAGAAAAAGTGAAGTCACTTCTACATGACCTAATTTTCAATGGTGGATGTCTTTAGCTCTCTGTGGACACAGATTCTCTCCCTCCCTCTCCCTCTCCCTCTCTCCATAATCTCAGCTTAACAAAAAGAGAAGGCAAAGTACACCAGGAACTCATTTTATTCAAAAGGTGCTTTGATTAGATGTAATTTTAATTATTAATGATAATGATGTTGAGTTTTTTTATAAGTAATTAAAAAACCCCACGTATCCCACATCTCAGTGCTCATCTGCTTAGTGGCAATCATGTACAAAAAGCATGCATTAGCAAAAAGCCAAATACCCAGCGTCATGCATGGCCACTTGGCAATGTTATTTTCTTTGTTTTTCTTAGTTTATTATGCCCTTGTGCGAGTTGACACAGCATTAATACCTTTCTTTCACTTGAGTTTGGTATCTCCATAGCAGAATCTAAACTAGAATATACTTCAAAAACCAACGGCTCCCATGACAAACATTGCATATTTCTTTTTAACAAAAAGATCCAAATATGCAAGCATGATGATTTTAATCACAATTTCAACTAATTAAGGCTTCAAATATAGCTTTCATAACAAGTAAACATATAGATACTTACCTTGACTTATTACCTCTACTGGTTAAAACTTTTAAGTCAAGTGATTTCATGGTATCAAATTACATGTTTGATTTGTGATTCACAATGGACATCTCTGTCCTATCTATAATAACCATAGGACAGGAGATGGTTAAAAGTAAAACCTTTAACAACCCAAAAGATGACTGGAAAGAAGAGTAAGATCACATATATCTTCAAATGGATAAAAAAAAAAAAATCTGATGAAAGAGTGCATATGACCTACTCAGACTTACAAGTTTCAACATCAAGAACTTTACAGGAAATGCAAATGCAATTCAGACGAGGTTTCCCGCTTTTGCTACAGCTTCGGGGTGGGCTAGAAAACCCTTTAGTTGCTTTCTGTTAATGGAAAGATGGGGATTTTCACTTTTCTTGCTGCTCTTTTCTACATCTACAGGCACGGATGGCAGTCCCTTTCATTGTCCGGCCCCTTGGAGCAGGAAGAGGCAAAGGAAAAAGGCTTGCATTTTGGTATTAAATCAACTATTCCTGGCCATTTGGGGATAAGTAATGCATGTTTGCAACGTATTAATGTGGGTCAAGTTGTGTTAAAAGTGAGAGCATAAAAGAGTGACAGCGATGGCGGATTTATGTGCAAAATTGCTAGAGATAATTTTGATGATGGGGTAGCCTTCTCCAACTAAAACCAAAACAAGAATGAGCTCTTTTTTATCTCCAAAATTATTGTGCTTTTGGTGATAGACCCTTGCCCGCCCTAGTTCTCGTTTTGGATTACAATCCTATCTTAACTTTATATCCTTCGATAAGACTGCCCCATTTTTTACCTATACATTATATCCATATTGTTTCTTTTTCTTTAGCTTTTCCTAATATATGAAATGAATTTCTACACAGTTCTAATTTATTATAATGCGTTCCAATTATCATCATCATTTTATTATTATTTTTTTGTCATTAATCAATGAATAAAAAATCAAAAGATTATATCCTCATTTGAACAAAGCAATAGATTAAATGTTAAAGATTTTCTTTAAAAAATATGCATGAAATTCCCATCAAACCTAACTACACTTTCTAACTCAAAGAAAACCCCAAAAGGGTACCTACTGAGCTCTTCAAAAGAATAGAAAGAAGCAACTGTAGACGTGCACAGCCACCTCTCTCTCTAGACGCTTTGGGACTCGAACATCTCCTGCACCACGTAAGAGTTCAAAAGAAGCAATCACTTTGGACTTTTTGTTATTTATCACAATTTCACACTTGAAAACTTAATTAAATTAAACTCACCTTAATGATAAGATTGATGTTTATTTATATAGTTTTAGTAGGAGTAGTTTGTGTCAAAATCATGTACATAATAATGTGCTTTTAGACCTGAAATTATCTCTAACTTTGGACTTTAAATTTATTAAGCAAAAGCATATTACAAAAAGATATTAGACATCCAATTATTAACATTACTTTTTATTTTCTTTGCCATATTATTGTAGCAGTCATGATTAGAACTTTGGTCCCATGCGCCTATCCCTGTTAAAAAACAGAAGATGAGTCGTGCCAAAGTCTACGGTTCCATTATTGATTTTCATGTACTCCTTATTATTAATATTTAAACTGTCATATATGTTATTTTTGTATTACAATTTACGGTTGATTTATATATAGACATATTAAAATTTAATATATTATCAATCATCATGAAATGGTTGTTTTGTAATGATGAAAATAAATCGTTTCATGTTTATTAACATGAATTTTTTATTCTGCATAATATAAAAAAAATCTTTAAATTATTTTAAAAAATAAAATAATTTTTTTTACATTTAATGAAATTTTTTTATTTTTATTTTGAGTAAAATTAATTTTTATTTTTAATAATTAATTTAATTAAAATGTCAATTGTCATTTTGTGTCAGATATTACTGACATGACATACTGAAATGTCATAATTGATGATAAATATGATATGTTAATGTGATATGATAACATAATACTGTGATTTTTTTACTCTCCACATCAACGCCATATTAATACAATGTGAATATAAAATAACATGTAGTAATTTAATTAATAAAAGTTAATTAATCATTAATTATCAAGATTTATTTGAGTTAAAATAAAAATACATAGATTTCATTGAATACAAGGAAAAAAATAAAGATTTATTTAAAATTTAAAAAGTAAATAAGCTAAAAATAAATTAAACTAAATAAATACTAATTTAAAGATTTTTTTAAAATATTATATATTTTAATTTAATAAATTTTAAGCACAACATGCGAATAACCTTATAATCATCTAAAACCTTAAAAAAAGAAAAGAAAAACTTGATTTTATACTACACAAAAACATTTATATCACGATTTTCAATACAAATTTTCTATTTTAATAAATTTTATATAAAAATAAAGCATTTATTACATCATATACTTACCGTATCCTCCATCGATTGGTAGCAATCCTTTATTTATATATATATATATATATATATATATATATATATCATTATATACCTTGTTGGGGAAAAAATGAAATGGAAAGAAGTCTATAAAAGAGTGAGTGGCTGTCTGCTATCTGCACCAACCACCAAATTCCCCATCCAATGGTTTTCCGCCACGTGGGACAACATCGGGCGACAACCAGGAAATCCTGGGCTAGGGAAAGGTTCGTTATTTTTTTCCGCCCGGAAATTGACGTCAGTTGTGGACGTTAAAGGGTGACACAAAATTGAGGTAATAAGTGGCGTAGGTTAAGGGGTGTGGGGTGCGTAGGATAAAAAGTTATGCGCATTTTTTCTTTTAAAGTTGTGGCATTTTCTTTTGCTTACTTATTTATATTTTTGCTGCTTTAAGTGGGAACACTCAGACGTTAACGTTTGACTGTAGCGTTATAAAATAATATTACACATTCTTTTCCTTTTCTCTCTATTTAGTGAGTATTTTTTTGTTGTGGGTTGCTTTTGATTCTTTGTTTGCTTTCAAGGAGTGGTGGAAGCTGCTGTTTTACAGAAACAACAGAGCTTTTTTGAGTTATTGAAGGAGTTAAGGGTTTTGATAATTCAGTTGATCCATAAGGTTAGTCAGTAAAGTTTCTCAATTTTCTGTCTTTCTTTTTTCTTTTTATGGGTTTATGAGAACGTTGGAAATTATGAAAGATTCAATCTTTTCTTTTTTCCCTCTTTTGATGACATTATTTAAGTAAGTTTGTGGTCTACTAGGGTGGTGTTTGAGTTGTTGCTGATCATGTTCTTATCTTCTGATTCTTGGTAATATATGGTTGTGGCTAAATAGGAACACTTTGGTTTACTTGGTAGATGATTGTAACATGTTATTTTGGCGCCAAATAATGGAAAGTTTTCGTTGAAGCTTAGTTTAGGAGGTGACTTGCTTTTAAAATTAAGACCATGAGCTGGTTATCTTGTATTTTAGTTCATGATTGTGAAATGAACTAATGTGTCCTTAACTTTTTATGTGACTGCTAGTTGATCAAGCTGACACTCTTTGGGCCTTTCTTTTTTCTTGGAGGAAGAGTTGGGCGTATAGATTTCTCTGTCGGCAATATTTTAAGAAAGACTAGATGCATATTTTAGTGGCTTTGATTCCTTGTTTGGGCTCCGGAACTCCAAAAATGTTGATCTACAGTTTCCTCATATTCAAATTTTCATGTAGAGAAAACTCACGAGGCTTGAAAATGTGGAACAGGGATTTCTTTCTTTGAGGTTCAGAAGGGAATAGGGAACATCTTGTTAATAACCCTGCTATATTCCTAGCTGCGTGATGTCTTGTTAGATGTTACCCTAAAAGTGATGCGAATTTTGGTTTTTTTTTTTTTTTGTGTGTGGGGTTGGGGTGGGGGGGGTGGTTTCACTTTTATTGCCTGTGCAGAATCCCAGAAACCTTAATCAGACTCCATAAAAAAAAGCTTTAATTCTATTGAGTACGAGTGAGGGATGCTCTTGAAATAACTCAATTGATTAACTTCCTCAAAAAAGAAAGCCAACTATGTCCACATCCACATACCAATCACTTTGCTGCTTCTTAATTGCTTTTTCATGTCACTCCTGCCATAGCTGAACTTGCTTGGTAGTTTTGTGACTTTTGGCCCACTTTTGCTGATATTGAAGTGATTGTTGTCGCGAATATCTTTTTCAGGAATTGTGCCAAGCCATGGAGATCTGTCCATAGGCAGAGGTAAGGAAACTGTGTGAGAATTGTTGAAATTTCCCATTCTCTGTCCTTGGCCCATGATTTTGTTGCTTTATGGAAAGAACAAAACTGTCTTACCATTAACATCTTAGCATACGTCGCTTTCCTCACGTTAGGAGGAAAGAGTTCCATGTACTTTGGTTATGCATTCTTCTGATGCAAAAGACAATGAATCAATCTGCTGTTTGTTTGTTTTTGGTTCTCTGTTCCAGTTGCTTGATAGAGTATGAGCTCTCCATCAACTGAACTTACCAAGAGGATGGCAATATATGAGCAATTCCACCAGGTAAGCAGGTGGGGAGATGTCTTCAATAGTGACAATAGTCCAAATACAGGGTCATCCACAATTGTGCAGGTGGATGTTAGGCTAGACAACAAGGTGAAGTTGCATTCAGGTTTATTTCATGAATGGATGCTTGAGCTTTTTCTTCCAATTGCAGGATATAACTAAATTATTCTGATTTAAATCATAGGCTGAATATATATCTTGTGAGCAAGTTGAACCTTCCAGAAGTGATCAAGAAGCAAACAAGCCCACTGATAAGGTGATGAGTTTACAGCATCTCCTCTCCCTCTCTCTCCCCACTATACACCCATCCTTCCCTCATAGACATTTTACAAAAGATAGCTTTGTTATCCACTATTTATCCATGACTACCCTTTATGTCATATGTGCTACTCGAGAGTATTTATGCTTTTGATATGCTTCAAAGTAGTATATAATTTTAAGTTCAGACATAAGCATTTGTTTTTTGTTGTAATTCGTTGTAGAATCAATTCTATTCCCCAAGGTTTTACTATCATGGACTAAATAGTACATTTTAAAAAAGGGAAAGTAAATTACTTGATTCTGTTATTCTTGGGTAGAAAATTCTTTTCAGGGGTAATTGAGTTTTCCACCAACAGTGTAGTTCCTGTTCCACTGCCGTGTGGTGGCTGTCCTACATTGTAGATCTATTTGCTCTCCGGACCTCCTACTTGTCTCAATTGTATATATCTTTTATTTATAAACATGTAACATGTGCAGATACAAAGGCGTCTAGCACAAAATCGTGAAGCTGCTCGTAAAAGTCGTCTACGGAAAAAGGTAGAAGGAAAATGCATGCCATATGCAATATGTGCTATATTATAGCTATTTCATTGTTGGGAAATATACAAATATTTATGATTTGATTTTTTTTTTACAGGCCTATGTTCAACAATTAGAATCAAGTCGTTTGAAACTAGCTCAATTGGAGCAAGAGCTTGACAGAGCTAGACAGCAGGTGAACTGAAGACACACACACATACTCTCTCTCTCTCCGGCAGCATGTTTTCACCTTTTATTAACAATGCATTTCTTTATTTTCCAAGAAAATATTGATCAGGTTTCTAGATGTAGCATACATAATCAATTAGGCAATGCCTTAATGCAGGGTATATACATAAGCAGTGCATCAGATACTGGTTATTTTGGATTGTCTGGAACTGTAAACTCAGGTTTGTGATTTCATCTGCTTCAATTATATTATTTGCTTTAGATATGGGCTCACAGACTATATTTAGCTTCCCAACATCTTAATTTACTGCAATATAATTGTTCCCTGATGATCAAGATTTTGTCATCTGGTTAGTACTTTTATAAGATAGGTAAATTCAATGGTTTTATTCACTAATGTCATGAATGGAAGTTAGTATACTTGCATGTTTATTGGATTGTAAAATCATGCTATCTGATATTTGAAGCTATGAGTTTTGAAATAAATTTTGGACAGTTTTTGTTCTTTTGGTATTCTGACATTTCCCGTAATGATATTGCTTGATTAGAAATGCGGATGAAGAATCTCAATATATATATATATATATATATATATATAAGAATATATAAGAATCTTTGCTAACATTTCATCAAATAATGGAGAGACACAGCACTCTAATATCTTTGCAACTTTTGGCTCATGGATATTGCGAATTGCTAGTAAATGGTATAGGGTTCCTCTGTTACATAGCAATGCTTTTCCTTTCTCTCTATCGAAATTCCAGTTTAATAGAATCCCTTCCCTGCTACAAACTGCATATAAAAAGAAGAGAAGTCTCTTTTTCTTTTAACTCTGTTTCTCTTTACTTTTCCCACCTTTGGCCCTTAAATATGGTTCTTTTAGAAACTTGGCAGAGGATTAGCATTCATGCAATTAGATGATTTGAAGAAATTCTATTTCTCTGCATGTTTTCTATGTTCTGACCAGAATTTCTCAGAAGCTTATGGAAAGCTAGACCACTGAATAGGACCTTAGGAGCCCATTCCTATTGAGCATGTCACTAGAATGGTGTTTCTTTCACAAGAACATGATGTTTGAAGTTCCCTCAATGCAAAACACATCTGTTAATGTGATTTCGTGGTTTATATGGAAGATTTCTTTGATATAGCTTCCAAGAAACCAGATATATTTTACCTTATGTTACATCAACTAGTAAGCAATTATGAATAAAGGTTTCTCTTAGGAAATCATATTTCCCATGTGAATGTTCAGTGACCACACCTTGGTTTCTTCTTCAGAAAAGTTTAATTTGAATTTTGCAGGGATCACTGCATTTGAGATGGAATATGGACACTGGGTTGAAGAGCAAAATAAACAGATTTGTGAACTTAGAAGTGCACTCCAGGCACATATTACTGATATAGAGCTCCGAATACTGGTAGAAAGTGGCTTGAACCATTATTGCAGTCTGTTCCGCATGAAAGCAGATGCTGCAAAGGCAGACGTCTTCTATTTGATCTCAGGCATATGGAGAACTTCAGCTGAGCGTTTTTTCCACTGGATTGGCGGGTTTCGCCCATCAGAGCTTTTAAATGTAATGCTTCGTCTCATAACTCATTTTTGTCAAAAGACTGCCAATCTTTTATTGGTTACTAATTATCTGATCATCCTTCTATTGCATTATCATGGACTTAATTGCATGAATGGGGACCTACATGGTCCTGGCAGCTGAATAAGGTTATGCCATACCAATAGTGTGTAAAGAGAGATGCAACTCAATTTTCTTTCTGGCCTTTCTCCGCCATGAGTCCTGCATCCCATATTCTCTCATAACATATCTAGACTGCAAACTGGGGAGTAGAATCATAGAGATATGTCATGTTTTGAAATATATTCTTTCTGAGCAGCATGTCCACATTATAATGAAATTGTGAGAATTGCAGAAACGATTGCTTTTTATTTCACCATTAGATCAAATGTTACTTTACTTTTTAGTTATTCCATTCGTACGAGTAAAGAGTTGTACATATATCCTTAACTATATGAATTTTGTTTGAAGATTTTAAGTCATTAATTTCTTTTGCATGGTCCTTAAACTTTAAAAGAGTATAACAGCTAAGCTTTACGTTTAGCTACCATCATGAGACCTCCTTGTCTGTTCCTGGAAATGCTGTATACAAGCTGCCTACTGAGATCAATAACATCTTATGATAATAAACTATTGCAGGGCTGATGCAACAATAATTAACAAACTTTTCTGCTCGTGAATTATGAAACTGTGAATTCTTTTTGTATAGGTTGTCATGTCACAAATTGAGCCCTTGACTGATCAACAACATTTGGAGGTCTGTAACCTTCGACAATCTTCTCAGCAAGCTGAAGATGCTCTTTCCCAAGGAATAGATAAACTCCAGCAGAATTTGGCCCATAGTGTAGCAGCTGATTTGAGTTCAGGAAACTACAGAGTTCAAATGGCTGCTGCAATTGATAAGTTGGAAGCCCTAGAGGGCTTTGTAAACCAGGTTTGACATTATGTTTTCATCATCAAATTTTTTGTCCTATTATTTAAAAATAAATAATTTTTTTGACTGGACATCAAGTTGTTATGAATTGCTTGGAACCATTTAGTGCCCCATGAATTTTTTCCTTTAACTGCATATGATTTCTTGATCTTAAATATATTTTAAGTTCAATCTGTTAAATGAGAAATTGAAGGACAGTGTGGATTGGGAAAGAAAACTTGTGGCTCCTTTTTTCACATGAAGATTAGCTTGTTGCAAATCGCCTTGCATGACTTCCTGATTGCTCCAAGAAGGGTAATAATTTACCCCACAAAAAAGAATTCCTTTAGTCTACATAAAATAATAATAAATGAAGTTGACTCTTAGGTGCTTTCAGAACTTAGGGGAGGTGGGAGAATGGGATTTTTTCTTTCATGGAATTTAGAGAAATCTTTTCTAAGCTTTAAATTTGGGATTCCATCCTGAAAGAAAAGCTTTAAATTTCATAGAACCTTAAGCTGAGTTCTTACACAATTCCCAGCCACTTGATCATTGCCTCAGGCTTTATCAACATCCTTTTTCAACATGGAGTTCATCCATCCTTGGAGTCTTGTAACAGTTGTCAGGCACCCACGATATCCTCAACAGAATGCTAATTAATTACTTAAAACTCTTAAAAACAGAGTCCATAAATTACATATGAAGAAAAAGAGAATGTTATTTAGAATGTTGAATTTTACTCTAGTATATGGCCCTAAATTTACACTTTTTTACTGGATTTTGCATGTGCTTTTCCTCAAAACAGGCTGATCACCTTCGCCAACAGACGTTGCAGCAGATGGCTCGAATCTTAACAACTCGTCAAGCAGCTCGAGGTTTACTTGCCTTGGGGGAATACTTTCATCGCCTACGTGCTCTCAGTTCACTTTGGGCTGCCCGTCCACGTGAACCTGCCTAGTCTGTAAAGATAGAACTTAGAGAACAAGCAATTATATGTAGGGTGTAGTTCAACTGGTAAGAGATGGATTTTTGGTGGTCTTGTTGTATGAACTACAATATGTATGTGCTTATAATTTTTCTAAAGAAACTTCTTGAGCATAAAACCTGTAAATACGAATCCTTATGCTGTGTATCAAGAAGAATTTTAGGTCATTAAAGTTAGATTTTCAGGTGTTGTATAGTACTGTATTGTTTGGAAGCCGGAGAACTATATTAGTAAGCTTGTCTTTACTCTGTTTTTGGCATTATTGGACTATTGAAGTTAGTGGAACAAAAGATACATGATACTATCAGATATTAAGAGAAAAATGGATTCTTTCTTCCTGCTACAGGTGAACCGTTAGCCAGAATAAGCCATCCTTTAGACCTTCTGCAAACTGGATTTGGGCCAGCACTCGACTTGTACTTCAACCCTCAGCCCAATGGTCAACCCCTCTATGGTCTGCAGTGTACAAACAAGGACCAAGATCTTCCACAACCCATCGGGTGAGAACAAAAAGGAGAAATTAAAACATTGAATTTTCTAAAAATAAGCCATAAAAAAGCCACCGAAGATACGAGTCAAAAAGAGTTGCAAAAATACCAATTGATTAGCGCAAACAACCGTCAACCATGTAATATATTTCCTTCTTAAACCAAAGCAAGTGGCGCCGGTCGTCCACAAACTTCATCCCGGTCAAAAAAAAAATTAATTGATATATTTTTTAACTATTTATGAAAATTTTTAAAAATATTTTTATTGTATTTAATTAAATTTTTATTTTATTATTTTAAATTTAATAAATTTTTATTAATAACTATTCGTTCACTTATTATTATTTTATATCACATGATAATAAAATAATATGCTAATAAATGATAACACGATATATTAATATTACATTAAAGTGATAATATAATCTTTTATTTTGACTTGTTAATGTCACATTTCCATAATGTGATACAAGTATAAAAATTAAGAATATCATTTTAATGTAATTAGTTAATAATTAATTATAAATATATATTTAATTTAAAATAAAAATATAAAAAATTTTTATTGTAAGTGATTAAAGAAATATAAATTTATTTTGGATATTTTTAAAATTTTTAATTTTTTAACAAATAAAATTAATTTGAAAAAATATTTTAAAAAAATCTCAAATTCATTTTATTTGATAAAAACTTAAAGATTTTATTAAAATGTTTAAATGAAAATATATGTTGACAGAAAAAAACAAAAACAAAAATGGAGGAGAAAAAAAAAAAACCAAGATTCGGTCAGATTCAAATGTTCGTTATCAGAACCTCTTCACTTCCTTCACGTCTTTCTTTGTTTTGCTTACTCAACCATGCAAAAATCCCCAATGCTTACCCCCAAAAAACCCTAATTTTCATTTCTCCTATAATCTTTCTTCTCATTTTTCTTGAATTTTTTTAGTAATTTAAGCTCATTTTTAACCCCAGAAAAGAGAAGAGGAAATGAGCAATTTGAGGACAATTTGTAGACCGCACACGGTCTTTTCTTCGTTCATGTGTTGTAGCAGGCACCACCACCATCAAGCTCGATCCAGAATTAGGGTTTCCTTTCGAAATCCTAATTGTAGGCCATCTTTGTTCTCTCCTTGGTTGGATTTGTCCAGAGATTTGAGCAGGAAGGAGCCCTGGTTTCGTGTCAATCAAAGGAGGACTCTCGTTAGGGCATCGAATTGGACTGATCAAAAATCTCCCTATGAAACTCTTGGTAATTAATTTTATTGCTTTTTTAAGCTTGTGCCGTGTTAGGTCGATGAGAAAAGCTCCATTCGTTTAAAGTTTGGTTATATTGCAGAGGAAAACAAAAACCATATATTAATCTATTTTGTTTTGGTTTGCGTAAGTAATCCAATTATATTTGAAATTTTGATTTCTAATCATCAGAGTTAGAAAGGGATGCTGATGAAGAGCAGATAAAAACTGCCTACAGACGCTTGGCCAAATTCTATCATCCTGATGGTATGTGGCTTTTATATTGATTTGGAAACATTCAAATTGTTTTAAGTTTCAACTGAAATATGTGTGTAAGGTTTCAATATTAGGTTAATTAATGGCATCTTGTATCCTTTCATTTTTAAGCATGTGCTCATCTTTCCAGTAGTCATTTTTCTAGTAATACAAGGTGGTTATGCGGTGATGGAAGATTATTATTCTCAGAATTGTTTCGGGTATCTCTCATGGCAGGATGTTTCCATGTGAAACGTATATGCCTGCATCAAGTAGGAATTAGCATCTGAGACTGTTGAGAGGAGAGTGTAACAATGTTATGTCATGTTAAGTTTAACCCTCTATGACTCCTTTTGGATGCTGTAACCGATGTTTTTATTTATTTCACTGGAAATTCATTGCCACTTCTCCAATTTCTTAAAAAAATTGGCATCTATTCTTACTAACTGATCAATTTTCAATATTGAAGTTTATGATGGTAAAGGGGCTCTTGAAGAAGGTGAAACTGCTGAAGCAAGATTCATTAAGATTCAAGCTGCTTATGAATTGCTCATAGATGTGGAGAGACGGAGACAATATGATATGGATAACCGAATCAATCCGATGAAGGTAAGATATGAAACTCTGCTTTGGTCTACTTAGATGTTGTGCGTTTTCTTGTGGAGTAGCCATCACAATTATTTTTTAAATTGATTTTTAACACTATGCGCTTTGTGATCATCTTAAGAGTTAAAAAAAATATCAAACTTGAAATTGTAGACATAAGCTGTGCAGTGAAATATCTAATATCTTCAATCCAAATTGTTTTCATGGTTCAAAATTATATAACCTTGCTGTTTTAGATTTAGATACTTAGGTTATTAACTTGAATCTCAAAATTCTAAATTACGGGATTCGTACACAGACTTCCTATTAATTTTGTTACCAAAAACCTAGATAAGTACTTTCACTGCCCTTTTTTTTTTTCTTGCATTAGTTTTTCTTTGAATCTAAATAATGGCTTATCAAGTTAATACACAAACGTGATGTTAGCGGTAATGTATTGATTTAATTGCTTGGAATGGTGAAATTACAGTTGTTCTTAAAATGCCTTAAGCAAAGTCGGATTTCTCTATCGTTTTACTTTGTTAGTTAGCCCCTTAAGAGTGGCATTTTCCATTTTCTCCTTTCTTCCAGGCATCTCAAGCATGGATGGAGTGGCTTATTAAAAAACGAAAGGCTTGGGATCAGCGGGGTGATATGGCTGTTGCAGCTTGGGCTGAGCAGCAGCAGCGTGAGTTGAATCTCCGTGCCCGCCGTCTTTCTCGTTCTAAGGTACTAATTCTGAAATTCTAATAATCTAAATGTACTTGGGGGCTTTCTAAACATATTCTAGATTTTCCACCTGCCTGGTTACCATCTTGTTTATGGGAAATTATACCCAGTGCAGGGCGTTAAAATAAATTTAAGTACGCACATTTTTTAGCATTAAAGAAATAGATTTCCACTTTAGAATTTGATGATCTTGGAAAGGCCTTTGTCCTGAGCTTGAAATTAATTTCAAGTGGTGTCTCAATCCTTGCGATGGTTACTATTACTATGTTTCATTACCTCATGCTGCTACATCTCTCAGAAGGTTTATTTGGATGGAATTTCAGATAGATCCTGAAGAAGAGAGAAAAATCTTGGCAAAAGAAAAGAAGGCGTCAATGGAACAGTTTAGCAATACTCTAAAGCGGCATACCCTTGTGCTAAAGAAAAGGGATTTGATGCGAAAGAAAGCAGAGGAAGAAAAGAAGAAGGTTATAAATCAGCTTTTAGCTGCAGAAGGCCTTGAACTTGATACAGATGATGAATCTCAGTAGAAAAATTCGTACATATGGGCCACCATTTAATTCTTTATGTGGCACATAGTTGATCCCCGATGCGTATACATTTTTTTGTGCTAAAAGAAAGGAAAAGGAGAAACTGTGTATAAAATTGTTCCAAATATAAGAAAGAAATTGTTATTTACGTTTGAAAGTTTCCTTCCTCTCCACTCTTATGTGTGTGGTGTTGGGTTTCTGCATGTGTCGGTGCACAGGTTGACCAAACTGAGTCAGATAGGTGAATATAGAAGGGGAACAGTTTAAAAGCCGGTCCTATTCTTTAAGAACTATTGGTGAACCTCTGCATTTTCACACTGCAGTGCTAGAATGCAGCAGATAGATTTAAAAGATTAACACGTTTGAAGAAAGTGCATGCTAAGCTTAATAGGTTCTGACCCAACTGTAGGCCTGCTGCTTGGTGGGCTGAAAATTTTGGGCGTGAGCATTAGGTTCTGGGACTAAAGACTTGGAAAACTTAGCTGGTGGTTGCCAAGCTCCACTGTACACACATGTGGCTCTGGTGCAGCAGGTAGCTGAGTTTGAACAGATACTCAAATAATACAGGCTGCATCTTTGCCTAACAGCAGCATTTATGTAAGCCATTGTGCATCGGATACACATGTATATTTGCAAGTATTCAATTAAAAATTAAAAAAAAAGGTCATTTTCAGCCATCTTTATGGAAGTATTTTACTCAATAAACGCTGAAAAGGGTAAACGTAAAAACAGAAGAATAAAATTTGACAGGAAATTTTCAAGTGGCATTCATTATTCCATTTTTCTTTAAGATGGAAAAGAAACAGAAGCTGTGGCTAAGGCTTGTTTAGCCATACAGAAATTATTCAGTTTATCAGTTCCTTCTAGAGTTCAGTATCTGCTATCATTTTTCCAGAACAATTTGTTGCAGACTTTGTTACAATCAAGGAAGGAAAACAATTTGTCACAGACTATAACAGTGGAACAAGGAAAACTGTGTTAATGTCGAAAGATCTTCGATAGAATGGAGAACTTCAAGGGGTAAAAGTGTGATTTTGAAATTCGTCTATTGTATATCAAGTATCTCCTGTTTGCTTAAAGATCATGTGCTAATTGTTTTAATGTAAGTTGAGTGCCTGTCAACAAGGAGTTCAACCAGAGGATCCTCCACATCAGAACCAGTACGAGTCCTGTCGCGGTGAACCAAAATATTCCCACTGCTTGTCACAACTATGACCTCCTCGTTCCGGGTCAGCAGCTCATTCGCCACAACTGAATGCATTTTGTACTTTTTAAGAGCCGTACCGGCCTTCTCTAAGAGAATCTTTGAGTCTGTCTCAAGCTTTGCGCAAAACAGGATAAATTAGAGCCAATTGAATCAACAACCCTTTTCAATCATTCCTAGTCCTAGCTTTCAAAGCAAACATTAAAGTAAGCGCACCACCGTGTCTAACCTTGAATGATATGCAGAAAGCCATGGGAGTCCATTCCGTCCTTAGCACCAAGAGCATCTTTGGCACTTGCATAAGTCGCATGTCCAAAGGGCCAGATGCGGACTGAATCTTGTGCTCAGCCTATGCAATTAATCAGTCTTCTTTACAAAATAGAGGGATAGATAAAAAGATTATTCAAATGACAATAATATTTCAGTCTGCCAAAAAGAAGAGGATCATTATCTTGAATCATTACCATGCTCTTCCATGGAACATAAAAGTCAGAGACTGCAGCAGCAAGATAAAACATTGCATAAGGCCCAAGGCTTCTCATTGATAATGCAATTATCCTTAACATCTGCTCTTGCAAGAAAAAGCATTCAAGATATAAGAGATGGTCTCTGCACAGGATGGATTCATTCATATTTTTTTCTCTTTTGAAAATTGGATGGATTCAGTAATATTACAGCATAATCACAAAAAGTACAATTAAGAGCCACTATCTAATGACCATGAGGACTCTACAATTACCAAATAAAGAGAAAAAGTACACTGCCTAACATTTTCTCCTACAATTCAATTTAGAAAAATCTCTCTCCAAGTCATATATTCATAAAGATAGAGAGCCATGGCCCTTTTCTGCTAAAGCTACAATAGTTCTCTAGGCCAAAAGCAAAGATGGGAGGCCATGCAGTCAAGCTATTACAACCAAAATGGTAGCTAACCCATGAAAAAGCATATAAAGCAAGCCAAAATTATAAATACACTTAACCAAACAATTAAAGCTATTACAAATCCAACGCAACCAATGAAAAACATATTATTAGTTCCCAAAGGTACAAAGATGTCCAAAAGTAATCTCAATACGTCAAAGAAGATGTAAGGCAAAAATTGAAAAAACCAATATAAGGGAAAATTGTTAGTCACTGCTAAGAACCTCACAGAGTCATTTAAAAATTTATTGAAGCCAAACCTGAAGATACTCAAAAATGGTTGTAAAGGGTAGTTTCAAAAGGAGACCGCCTGCTACTGCCTGCAACAAAAGTACAAAAAGGCTAACTGTTATGCTAATTAGGCTTGCAATCATGAACTGAAAGAGCTAAAAGCCAAACTGAGGTCACAAGATAAAAGTTAGAAGACTGAAAAATTAGTAATATAAAGTTATGAATGGTCCATACAGCATGATGATCCCTAATGGCCCCCTTCACTGCTTCAGAATGTGGTTGCCGCACTGTAATATTTCACATAACCCAATAATCTCAGTAGAAAACACCAGCGATTTTTACCATATATTTTAGTTTAAAAGTTGACAAATCAATGTCATTAAAACATAACAAAGGCAGCATAAAATAAAGAACTCCAATTCTATTAACTATGATTAACCACCACCACAACCAGCCCTCCCTTAAAATTCTTTAATTAACTGTTAACGTAACCCATATAATGACACGAAGAGACCTATCCTAACCTAAGGTCGCCAATTTAATGCATTTGAGTGATGACCAATATCAAATGTATATAACAAGAAAAACATTCAAAAAGGATATATATTTGGGGTCAAGATAATCTCCAAACCTTGAATATCAACATCATCAGCGATCTCAAAACATTCCAACAAAGGATCCTCAGGAAGAGACCTGCAATATGGCTGGGAAGTTCCCCTGCACACACACAAAAGAACCAATACAATTATCCACTAAACATAAACAAACATAACCCTTATCTAAATCCATCAACAAACATCAAATTCACCTCCGATACAAAAATATAACCGCGTATCCAGCCATTATAAAATACCTGCAAAAAAAATCCAACCAGTTAAAAAAATCCACCCCCAATTAAAATACATCAACTTAAATTGTTTTACAATTGCTTACTCTGTGGAAGCCGCCCCTCTATTCCCTGAACTAAAATTATCAATGTATCGAACACAGCGCTGCTCCAGGGGAACCATAGTTCCTCCAGATGTCACGCACACAACCCTCCTGCCTCTGCCTTCTCCTGAAAATAACATAGGACATATATGCCTATAATTATACGGATATGTATACGGTAGGCAAGTACGTAACACATGTTTGATTAGTTACGAGGTGTTGTACCTGATGACGGAGAATTGAATTCGATGAACTGCTTCAATTTGTCGGTAACTTTAGCGGAATCTTTGAGCGGAGGAGCTGACTCGAAGAACGAGTCGATCTCCTCGTGCAGAGCTGCGGAATCCATTTCAATGCCCCTAACATAAAATGAAGAACAAAAAAACTCAATAAAATTGCATGAAGGAAACCCTAACTGAATTGAACTTCAAACAACTTTGGATTTCGATATAAATTTTTTTAAAATGAAAAAAGAGGGGAAAATTATTTTGGGAAAGACATTGACCTTAAAAGGTGGTGAGTACCGCACTGTATACTGAGTAAACTCGAGCGATAGGGAGTACATAAATAGGAGGATCAGAATTGTTCGACGAACTAACATTTGTGAAAAAAAAAAAGATTTAAAAAAGGAAAAAGTGGAAGGCGGTTTTAATAGCCATCTGGTCCCGCCAATGAAATGATTGGTAGATCGGACGATGTGACTGCGACGGCAGCTCCGTAACGGCCCGAGAGTAGTCTCGGCACGTGACAGCTCTCCCCACCTAATTTTTACCCCAAATTTTCAGTGCGGAGATACATTTTATACACAATTAATAATTCTTTTAATAAAGTAAATAAATATTTTTCTCTCTTTATATTATGCTTACGAATTATGATTTTTGTATTTAAAAATAAAATACAACTACAAATTGATTGACCAATCAATCTTTTAGTCTTGTTTTTTCTTTTCAATTTATTACAAATCATAATCTTTTAAATAATTAAAAACGAAAACCAGTAAAGGAGGGAGCAAAATAGAAAAATAAGGGAAAATAAGCATGTTTTCATTTAATTCTCTCCCTGTAACTCCTCCGTCCCCATTTCTTAGGGGCAAAAAATAAATAAATAATATAACAAAAAATATCAGAAATGCCTTTAATATTAAAAAAATTTAAAATATCAAAGATAGCATGTGTTGTCTTTTGATTTTATATAGTTATAAATATGATTTTAGAAAGAATTTTAGCTAACTTAATCTAATCTTTAAGATTATCATATTAGGTAAAATATTTTCTCAATACATTAATTATATTAACTGTCAACTAATCCATTTAATATCAAACTATTACTATTAAATAAATATAGTTTTAACTAACTCTAAAAAATGAAACTTAACTCTATCAACTAAAAACACTTACTCTTTTTATTAAATCATATATTTAAATGTCTGAATTGATTAAGTATTATCTAGGAACCTAAATTTGATTCCTCCACTATCTCCATACTGTGATTATAGTCCTTTTACTCCAGTTTTAATAAATTTAGTATCTACATTTTTATTAAAGATTGATTTAAAAATAATTGGCAATTATATATTTTTTTTGACAGGAATTCACTTTGAATTTGGACGACATGGTTTTTCTTGATGACCTAACATGTTGAAATAAATTAATTATTTTTGTTACATGACACCTATCAATCTAAAAACATTATATATTATCAAATTAAATAATAATTAATACTTTTTAAAAAAATTTTAAAAAATATTAATATGTATTGCATCATTAAAAAATTTCAAATTAACATATTACATCATTAATAAAAAAAGTCACTCAACTAAATTTATTTATAAAAATTTAACACCATTATCAATTGTTTTTAAATTGATTTTTAATAAAAATAATAATTAAATTCAATGAACTTAGAATAAAGGATCAAAACCTTATAATTTAGATATGAAAAACATCAAATTTAACTTGACCATTCATACTTTATACAGAAATATTCATCAATGTCTGCGGAAGTGTTCGGAGAGAAATTTGTTACTCCTCTGCTTTATGAGATGATGAGGAGAAGTTGACAGCTGTGACTTTTAAATGGAACAAATCAGTATTAGCGGCCTTTTAATTTCCGCGTTCAATTCATATTATTATAAACAAATATGCAAGTCAACAACTTCGTCGGTCTGTTCCTTCCCCTTGGAGTAAATTATTGGATAATATTACTTATGTCTTTATCCTTTTGCGGCTGAAGTCAGATGAACAAATTTGGGCTTATAATTCCTTAAATATGGCAAGTTTGGTAGAACCCTAAAATAGATGATTGACCGAACCTAGCACACGTGAATGAATTGAAAGGATTCGAATTTAATTTTGTAACAATAATCAATCGAATTGTTTGATAATATATATCAATTATTTAATCAAATGTTTAATATTTATGTAAATAAATTTACATTATTTTAAAAAATAACACGGGAAGAGGTCAATATAAGTTTAATTATAAGTAGCAAATATTAAATTATAGATTTATTATGATAAGCTACAGTTGAACTCAATGACCTCATCATGTGCTGTGTGATTTGTTGTATGTAGCTGTTGGACCACAGCCTTTTGGTTAGTCGTCACATTAATGAGGATAAAAAGGAAAGGGGCAGATTCCAGTTGGCAACCTTTTGCAATCAAAGGACTTATTTTCACTAGCTGTTTATTTATTGCAATTTGTTTGAGATTTTGATCTATTTAATGAGTTGGAGCCCCAAGGCTTTTAGTTTGATTAATTTCTCATTACTTTTGTAATAATATCTTGGTTTCTTTTCGTCTTTAAAGGCCCAACTATAAAATTTCTCATTACTTTTGTATTAATATCTTGGTTTTCTTTTCGTCTTCAAAGGTCCAAATATAATCTCCCAAATTTAATAGATGAAATCCCAAAAACGGGACTTGAACCCGACGTGAATCGAACACGCAACCTTCTGATCTGGAGTCAGACGCGCTACCATTGCGCCACGGATCCACTTGGTCGTCCTGTCATTCTTTACTTGTATAACTCAAAATAAGATGAAAAATCATCTCATTCAACGGAAATTCCCGCCAAACCCAACGTTCTGGAGAGAGAAAAATACCCTGCTCTCTCCCTCTCCACCTGCGTAACAAAAACAGTTAAGACCTTACTGGCTTTGAGAGGCAACAACAAGAACCTCCAAACTCTTTCTCTTTTCTTTTGACCCCGAAAACCACCCCTTTTTTTTTCTTTGCTGTGTTTTCTTTTTCTCTCTCAATGGAAGAAGCTACCCAAGCCAATCAGCCCCACACCCAGATCGAAATCAAGCCCCAGGGCGAAGAAGCCCCGCCACCAATCTCCTCCCCCTTGGGCAACAACAACAACCCCGAAACCAATAATCAGCCAGAAGGGAGATTTCCGTTCTTCAAGTCACGTTACCGCCAGAGGTCATCGGACACATGGCTCATTTCTATCTTCGTCATCCTCCACCTCCTGGCTTTTATAACCACCATGCTGTTCAACTATTTCTCGCTCGGCAGTGCTCTGTTTCAGCCTCTCTCTGAGAATCCCCTGCTCGGTCCCTCTGCTTCCACGTCAGTAATTCATTTCCTTTTTTGTTTGGTTTTTCTTTCTTGAAACTTGATGAGTTTTTAAGTGTTCTTTTTGGGGATTGTTTATTGGAAGCTGAGGGAAGACTCAAGATGAAAAAGAAATGTTAGTTAATTAATATGCTTTGAATCATTGGTAATGAAGAGGTTTGATAACCCGTTTCTTTGTTCTTTTTATTTAAGAGCGCTAATTGATAGCCCACTTGCTATGAATTTGGTCATTAAGTTGCAAAGAAATAATGGAGAACAGATGAATAATTTTACTTTATTTTTGTTGTCATCTAAAGTTTTTGAAACGTTTTACCCTTGTCATCTCTAACAATTTTTGTTGAACTGCTGTTTCAAGAAAAAAGAAAACGAGGTTCTGGATTTGTATTGGTCTTATTTTGCTATTTCAACCCTTTAGCCTTATTTTTCTTGCTGAAACCATGCTTGTATTGTTGCAGCCTAGAAAAAGTTGGGGCACTTCAAAGGGCAGATTTGGCTCAGAACCACCAAACTTGGCGTCTCTTTGTATGTCCCTGGTTACATGCTGGGGTCATACACTTTGCCATCAACATCAGCTGTATAATCTTTGTTGGAATCCATTTGGAGCGAGATTATGGACCTTGTAAGACCAATGCTCTCTGATACAAGCATAACCGTCACTTTGCATTGATTATGTGAATAAAAATATAAAATGCTACATTTTGATTGGCTAACAATTGGTTAAAGTTTATTGCTCTTTCACTTCTGCTTAACAGTGAGGATTGGGATAATCTTCCTACTATCTGCATTTGTTGGTAGCTTGGTATGTTCACTTTTTGTTCGAAATAGTCCTGTGGTTGCTTCCTCTGATGCTTTGTTTGGATTACTTGGAGCTATGCTTTCTGGGATTATACGGAACTGGAAAGTATACACAAACAAGGTGCTTCACACTCTTCTCCTTGTGCCTGCTTATGTCTATATCTAACTGAACTTGTATTTTACCGATCCCTGCTGTGGTTCCTTGCAGTGTGCAGCTCTAGCAGTAGTTTTCATAGTATTTGCGATCAATTTCCTCCTTGGTCTGCTACCACACATTGACAATTTTGCAAATATTGGAGCTTTTATATCAGGATTTCTACTCGGATTTGTGTTTTTGTTCACCCCTCAGATTAGACAATTGTCTAAAAACAAAGCAGGCCTTTTTGAATGTAGTGTCAAAAGTTCCAGTAACTTGAAGCTGAAGCTGAAGCTGGACAGGCCCATTCTGAGGAGTGTTTCTCTTCTACTGTTTATTGTTGTGTAAGTTTTGTTCACCTAAATGTCAAGCTGAATTCTTTTGTTGTTCACCTTTCACAACGTATGAGATCTTATAAGTGGAGCTTCTTGCCTTTGCAGACTTGTTGGATGTCTTGAAGCAGTATTCCAAGGCATTGATATAAACCGCTATTGCGGATGGTGTAGATTCATTGATTGTATCCCTAGCAAAAGATGGAACTGCAATGACAGAACAAATGCATGTGAGGTATATGTATGATTCTTGAGTGGCTTCATTTCGTGATGATTACTGTTCTTTTTGTCATAGGTGGGCAAAAGCAGCAAAGCCCTTATTATCTAATTCTTCAGTGAACCTCTTTTTAATCCATATAATTGCCATGAAGAGATGAAAACTAGAAAGATAATTTCTATTATCACCATTAAAGGTTACCCCATTTTCACCACCACATCTGACTTTAATTATAGTGTATTCTTCATCAGAATGCCATATCATCTCCATTTTTGAAGCATCTTGCATCACATTGGTTGGATTTACTTGTAATCATAGATAACTCTGCTTGCTGCAACAAGTAGGAAGCAACAAGATTGGTAAAATGGGTGGTGTAAAACAACTAGTATTTTTTAGTAATGGACTTTAAATTGCAAGTACGTAGTTGAAGCATGCTTAAGAATTTGCCCCCTTCAACTGCGTTCTGACTTGTCTCCATTGATAATTGCAGATAATGACGAGCAACTCAGACTTGACATTGACCTGTTTGCGAAACGGTAACTTCAGGGTATTCCCTTCCACTAACATTTCACAGGCAAGGATAACAGACTTGTGCTCTATGATATGCTGAAGGACTCAAAATAACAGTAGCAAGTCAAATATGAACTCATTGAGGCAAATGACCAAATTGCTTGTTGGACATATGGCTGGAATGTCCAGTGTGTTTTCAAGACTATGCTCACTACACTATCAAGCGGCTTTAAATGATAGAAATTTTTTAGGTGAATTGACACGAATTGACTGCTCCTGCCAATTCTCTTAGAATGTGATGCTTCATTCAGAAACAGAATTTTTAGGCGTTGATCTGTAAATGTGAATGTTGCAACTAAAGAATTTTCTTAGAAAGTGAGGCCACGTCAGTTCTTTTTTTCTTGAATCTTCAACTCTTTTTACCTAGGATTTTGATGGTGATCCCCTGTTACATTGTGCTTAATAAAAGGGAGATAACACTATGAGGGAGAAGAAAAAGAGATGAAAAATGGGAGTCTCATTGCCTTTTTCGCCATAAAAATTTTTGTCGTCCAAGTTGGAACGCTAGGAAGTTCTATAGGACAGAAGTTCGGCTTGCTAGTGATAGTATACAAAGTAACATCATAATCATATTACTTAATTATTTGAATTCTATGAAACTCGAAATAATTAATAATGTCATAATAGTAATTTCATTCTATGAACTAAATTACATGAAAAATTTATTCTATTCTTTCATAATAATCGTTTTACTTTACAAACCAAATGTGCACATAATGTAACAATTTGTCTCCAAAACTGTAAAATGGTTCCAGAGGAATCATAGAATAACAACCTCACAGGATAAAAGATAGTTTGGATGATTTCACTCTAAATAGGCGCCTGTGGCCTAATGGATAAGGCGTCTGACTTCTAATCAGACAATTGTGGGTTCGAGTCCCATCAGGCGTGCTATCTCATAGCTTTTGCCACAAATTTTGGTAGTTAAAAACAAATATTAATTGCTTATGTGATTTGTTTGCTTATTTTCCAAACACAGCAACGCACAAACTATATACTTAATACCCACAAAAACATTCTCAGATGTCTTCACTTTTTTGTTTTAAGGCAATACAAAGAAACTGCTTTAGAAGATTGACTTAAAGGAAAGCCACAACAATAGAAAAGAAAAAATCAACATAAACCCAAAAATTCACAAACTCAACAAAGTGAATTAATGGGATGGACAGAATAGACACTAAACATCTTTATTTTTCAAAACATGATTAAAACAAAGTTAAAAAATGATTAAACCTGATAGTCTCAGCTTTTGCAAGCCCGTCAGCTAGAGTGTTTGCCTCTCTGCAGAAACACTGTCAGATGTCTCCACTCTTTTGTTTTTTTGAATGGCAAGTGATCATATAACAAAGCCAATTAAGGCAATACAAAGAAACTGTCAAAGACAGTTTAAAGGATTGACTTACAGGAAAGCCACAACAATAGAAAGGAAAAAACCAACATAAACCCAGAAATTCACGAACTCAACAAAGTGACCTAATATGATGGACAAAATAGAGACTAAACACCTTTATTTTCCAAAATAGGATTAAAACAAAGTTGAAAAATGATTGAACCTGATAGTCCTAGATTTTGCAAGCCCATCAGCTAGAGTGTTTGCCTCTCTGTTAATGTGAGTGAAGGTTAGATCCTTGGAACTTGTTTTGAACGCTTCAATTCAGTTGGATAAAAGCTTCATACGCCATGGAACAGAGTTATGGTTTGATGCCCAAGTGATGGCATTCTTGGAGTCTTTCAACATGGAGAGTGCTAAAGGCCCAAGGTGAAGAAAAAAAGAAGGAGAGGCCCTCTTTGATAGCAAGAAACTCAGCTTAGTTGGAGTCCTCGATGCCAATGGGAGTAGAGAAAACCCCTTTAATGAAACCTTCATGATCTCTAATGGCACCCCCAATACCTGCAGGCCCTGGTTTCCCTAGGGCAGAACCATCAACATTCAGTTTGTATGAACTTAGTGGTGGTCTCATCCATTTGGAGATGGCTTTTCTTTTGCATTTCCTAATGTTAATGCAAATTCTACTAGGTTCAAAAAGGAAGTGAGAAGCTTGAATGTGGTTAACTGGCCATTTTTGCTTGCACCAATGGGCTAACCTAACAAGGATAATGTCTTGCAGCTGATTCACATCAAGGTGTTTACCTTGGAAGAGGGTTTCATTTCTACAAAGCCAAATTGACCATAAGGTAGAGAAGAAGAGCATGTGCCATACTTCAGAACCATAAGGTGGTTATTTGTTCAGCCAAGAGACAAAAAATCTAGTAGCATTACCTGGGTGAACCCAGCTAAGCCCCCAAAGGCTACAATTGTGCATCCAAATGTTCCAAGTTACCAAACAAGTGAAGAAAAGATGAGAAGAAGTCTCAGGTTCAGCATTGCCAAAGGTACATTGGGAAGCATTAATATCAAGCAAACCCCTTTTGAAGAGTTCATACTTGACAGTGACTTTTCCAAAGAGGACCTATCATGTGAAGACTTCAATTTTAGGGGGGTATGTCCCTTCTAGAGCTGCCTCCAATGAGGCTGGGGAGCCCAGATGTTCGACTGGCAATAGTTGACAAAATATGAAGGCGTGTAAGTATCGCTAGTCGATTTTTTCCAATGGCTTTGTATGGGGCAGAATGGTTGGGCTGGATTGATTTGATGGCATCCAAGAAATTACTCCACTGACCAAGTTTCCAATTAAATGGGTTACGCCTTAGTTGAATGTTCCACCTCCAACAATTCCTTTCCCATGAATCGAAGTCAGCGACAACTCCTGTTTTATTAATAGCAAGTGCGAAAATTCTTGGAAACCTTAGCGAAAGAGAATGGTCATCAAGCCAAGGGTCAATCCAAAAGTGAATGGTTTTCCCATTGCCGAGCATAAAGTCAAGGTTGGAGATCGCTTGGTCGTAGAAGGCATCATCATTAACAAGAGGGCGAGCTATGTTTCTCCATAAGGTTGATGATTTGCATGAAGGGGCAATAGGGAAAAGAGCTTGCAGATCGAGATTATTCTTGATAATAATAACATTTCTCCATAGGCTGTGGGGCTCATTGGCATATCGCCAAAGCCATTTATTGAGTAATGTTTTGTTCTTTAAACCCAAATCAATGATGCCAAGGCCTCCACAACATTTGGGTCTAATGACCAAAGGCTATTGAACGTAATGAATTTTCTTTTTATCTTTACATCCTGACCAAAGAAAGTCTCTTTGAATTTTTTCAAGTTTGTTCTTTACACCAACAGGCATTTTGAGAATGGAAAGATAATAAAGGGGAAGGCTCTTGAGAACTGACTTGATAAGGGCGAGTCTACCACCCATTGAAAGATGATGCCCCTTCCAAGAAGCCAAACGAGCATGAAATCGCTCAATAATGGGATTCCATAAGGACATTGAATTAGCTGCAGCATCGAGAGGAAGTCCAAGGTAGTTTGTTGGAAGTTTATCAATTTTACATTCGAGGGAGGTGGCCCAATGTTAAAGGTCTTGTTGGGGTACATTGATGCCGACGAGACTACTTTTGAAAAAATTGATTTTGAGTCCTGAAATAGCTTGAAAACCCTTCAAGATTCTGCTCACATTTTTGAGAGAGTCAAGTCCCGATTTGCAAAAGATAAGCATGTAATCGGTAAATTGGAGGTGAGTGATAGCAGGGACGCTTGTCTTATCAGATGTCTCCACTTTCTGGCTGGTTTCTTATTTTCCAAACACAAAGATCAATTTTGTTTGGTAAATTAGCAGACAAGCAGGCATTGCTTCTACTTTGTTAGAATCTATTCATACTTGTACTCAGCTCCAAACTCTGCTCTCTCTCTCTCTCTCTTTCTCTTTCCCTTTCCCAATATGCTCCGTTAACATCTAATCTAGTAAAAGCATTTAAAACCAAAGTAGCAGATAATAACTGCCTTGCCATATTATAAATTAAAAACAGGAATCTTAAAAAGAAACCATAATTAACTAGCCAAAATGGAGCTTTAATCCATAAAGTTATCTGTTACTAAATGATGTGGTGCACAGACCAAATCCAGGCGGTGTGAGTTTGAAAATCAGAATCTATTTTTCAATCTTCTTTTCTGGGTTCACAGACCATGATTACATGCAGCTTTGAACTACAATGGCCGTCCTAAGCTTCCCTAACAAAGTCATTAGGCCACCAAGCCGCAATGCTTTTAAATATAAGATTTTTCAGTTGTTGTAATAACACTTTTACAACTTGTGAACTACAAAAGCATAATAACGTGGGGCTATAGCCTTAGCCTAACCCAATATTCTTCTTGATTGGCTCCCAAGCTTTGCCTCCACATTCTGCACAAGTTTGTAACAGTGGCCTAGCGAGCCCTAAGCCAAGAAAAGCAACACTGAACTCTTTTCTTTTTTCTGCTTTAAAAAATACCGGTAAACTCAAGACTGCTGGCTTTTTTCTGCATATATTTAATGATAAAAAACAATGTGAGCCCCACTTTTAAATGGAATTTCGGCTTAGAATCAAGCTTATTGGACGGTGGTGCCGTCGGCGGAAACCACAAAACTAGGACGATGGTCCCTCTCCAGCTTAAACCCGTAAATAGTCCACTAATTCTTAACCCTGCATTTTAATGAGACCCGGCACCAGCAGCCTTAGTAATCGCACTAATTCCCTTTCCCCTTGTGGGTCTAACAGCTGGCTCCTCATTGATGCCAACAGGAACTTTCAAGAGAATTTTCAGCCATGAAAAGCCATTCATTTCATGGGAGGCCAATTGTCGCGTAACAGCTCAAGCAAAAGACCACATGCAGTTAGGATAGATAGATAGATATATATAAATGAAATAGGTGTCTATTAAGTCAATGGGCTAAACATTTACTGTTCTGTACATGAGTTTTCACTGTATTTAGATTCGGCAATGACTAATCCTGGGTTGCTGAAAGTGAGAGAAGTTACGTGTATGGTGAACGTGATTAATTAGAGTATTCGTTAGCAAAATTCAAGATTAATTGCACGCTGAGAAACCCAATAATGATGATTAATCTTTTTAGCAACAGGTCTTTGGTCCACCCAAACTCCTGCTGCTCTGTCTAAATATGGGACACACAAACAAGTCATTCCAAGTTTTATTTTTTTATTTTTGCCTAAAAATATTTGGTGGAGCTTTGTTTATTGCCTTGCCTTGAGTATTTGATGACCTGCAGAAGAATGAGTTTGAGTGACAAGGTTTTGTTTTCACGGAGGATGGGTTTGGTGCAGACACTCTCCTGGTCAGGATCAGCAAACATGTCAGCTGTCAAAAATTTATTTCCCTCACATCTCCACAGGGCCTTTAAGCACCGTTTAGGGTAGCAACCATCAAGTTTACAACATGTGGCTTGTTCCCACTTAGCACA